CCAAATTGATTTATAAATTTTGAATTTTATTGTTATTCATGTTTTTATACTGTATTTTATGCTGCTTCTACAATTAAGTGTTTTAAATTTGTTGTTAGCTGCCCTGAGCCCAGTTTTCTGAACCAGGAAGGGCGGGGTATAAATAAAAATTTATTTATTATTATCATTATCATCATAGTTATTATTAAATGGACAAGGAACCACCTATTAGAACAAAGTAAATCTGCAGAAAATGTTTTACAAACTCTTTGATTTTTAAAAGATGGTATTTCTCCTTTCTCCAGGGAAAAACTGTACAAGAACTTCTAAAGGTATAGCAGAAAATGCAGGAAGGTGCAGACAGGGATAATGACCACAATTAGTAACATAATTATCAGCCTACACGTCTCTGCATTTTATTTAATTTATTTATTTTATTTATACTGCCCTTCATCACAAGATCTCAGGGCGGTTCACAAGATAAAAATAAGGGATAAAAGCACAAATAAACAGTTAGAACAAACACAACAAAACAATAACGCCCACCTCCCACAAACACATTCAAAAGCTTTACAATTTAAAATATTTACACACAAAAAAACCCCATATGTATACCTGAAATTCAAGATAACACTTCATGTATCTGATGACATGAGTGTAATATGGGAAAGCTTACATCATAATAAAATGGTTGGTCTTTAAGTTGTCTGTCACAAGTTTCTTTGTTCACTAGAATGTAATGGGTGCTATTCCTCCCATTTTGCAGGGCAAGGGAACTTCAGCAGCCCTCAAATAGTCCTTTCTCACCCTCAGACCTGTCTCCTAGGCCATTCTTCTAATTGGCCCTGCTTCACACCCGATATTTTTGCCTGGCTGGAATGTGTCCTTCAACTCCTACAATGCCCTCATGCTTTGCGAATAGAGGAGGTGTGGCCAGTGGCCTACAGCATGAGAGCAATATTTGCATTTGTTGCTCCGCCCACTTTTGACTCTGGCCCTACCCACCCCTGGCGTTTGGTCCTCAGTCTGAAAATGGTTCCCCACCCCTGCTTTTGGGGATGCTTCTCTTCTGATACCTAACTATTTGGGAGGGACAAGTCCTTATTGGTGTCTATGGAGTTTACTCTAAGCCTCCATGTATTGCCCCATTGCTCTCAAGCATGTGGTTCAGCATGGGGCAGTAGGGAGCTACAGTTCACAGATCACCTAATTGTCGCAATCCAGTGGTAGCAGACACGGGTAAAGTGACCAACTACTCATGAAAGAAACCGCACGACAACCTGTTCTTGTGCCTTCAGCAGCAGCTGAAAAACAGCAGCTGGGTCTGCAAAAACCAGGAAATACTTTTCACAACACAGCTAAAAACCTGTATCATGTGCTAATCTTTGCCACAATGACCACCTGAAAAAATGATTAGCCATCACCCTTGGACAAAACCAGTTCCTTTTCTTTACTGGCATGTATTGGAAGACCTTGTGTACAAGTATTAAAACTGTGTAAACTCATGCAAAGGGATCTAAGTCTTTAGGGCTTAGTTACTGCAAATCCCTGCAAAAGACAATTAGCCTGAGTCTAATCTCATTTACAGTGGTTCTAAACCACTGTAATTCCATGACTTCATTGGTATTGCTCTGCATGTATGCCAGCAGCACTAGATTAACCAATGAGCTTACTACACTCCAGTAAAGGAGGTTAGTCCATGCTGTTTTGTACACGTGCTGGTCTGCTGTGTAAGTAGACTAGAAATATTTTCAGTCTATCAAGTTGCCAACACCAGAGACAGCTTGCTCCAGTGAAATTGGCATATGAAGTAAGCAAGAAGCCACCCAAAGAAATGGAAAGCAGCAGTTTTCTAGTGCTGTTGTGGGACAGCTAGAAACACAGATTCAAGTATTACCAAGCAAAATTAGATGGAATACCAGGAAACATGCCTTAACTGTATGAATAGGCAGGCAACATGGAACACGAGAGGCAGGGAAGTTGTGGAGCATCGCAGGTTGACAGTTTTCTTTTTCTGGTTCATGTAACACCAGTGTTTGCTAAAAATCCCAAACTCTTTGAAACACTTCCTCTTGGGAGCAGAATGAATGCTCTGAAATGTACTTAATTTGGCTAATTCATTCTGGTTGCAGAACTCCACTTTCCTTGGCACTGAATCTACATTAGATTGGCAGCTAGTATGTATGCCAGTCACATATGACATATGAAAGCAATGCTGTTTCTAAAGGCAGAAAAGGATATGTGTTAAAAGCAGCCGATTAACTGGCTCAGAGGGGCAAACATACAGCTTAAAAAGCAGTGAGCAAGTGTGGAATTAACTAAGTAATCCAGAGAGAGGGGGGTGAATGCAAAGCAGAATATGATTAGCCCTCCCTTCGTTTTTGCACAGATGCTTGTCAGAGAGTAAGGGGGGGCTGCCTAGTCCAGATGCTCCTATACCTTTCAGTTGCCTAAAAATATTTTCCCGCCGCAGTTCCTACTGATAGGAGCGGCAACTGGTGGAATTTCCCCTTCTACACAATTCCTAAATTGATCTCTCTGGGGTCCTCTGGAAGCTCGCCAGCTGAGTGCCCCTAGGGCTCCTTCTGCCTTAGCAGTGGCTAGGATAAACCACTCACGGCTGTCTACCAGGGAAAGGGGGGCAGCAGGAGCTATGGAAAGACCCAGGGTGACTGACTGAGGATGTTTGCTGAGGGTTTATATGGGGCTGCTCAGTTTGGGTCCCACCAAGCACAAATACTGAGCTCTGGCAAGATGCTCCAGGTCCAACACGAACTCCAGATGCGAAGTGGGGAGAAAGAGCAACATAGGAAAGAACTAAATGGAGGGAGAGAGCAGCAAGTTGGGGCACTGGTGAGAGGAGAGAGGGGAAGAAAAAGGGGAAATGCGGGGGGGGGGGTGGAAGGTGGAGAAATGGCAAAGGAGTAAATCTGGTCAGAAGAGAGTGGGGGTAGGAGGGCGATGATTGACAGGGAAACGGTAGCAGTAAGATCAATGCCTTTTTAATTGACATCATCCGTTTCCCTATTCAGCACGGCCACCCGTGCCCCATTCCTATGCAGTGAGGTAAGGGGGCAGTAGTCCGTAGCCATTTCCCTCCATGCCTGCATAAGTTGTGCACAAATCCCTTATGCATCGTTGCTCTTTTGGCCTGAAAGCTTCCTGCCCTGCATTCCCGTTCTCTGGACTGCAGCCTCCGCCGCCGCTATAGGCTGAGTCTCTCCTCTTATGTAACACTTTTGCCACACTGTTATTTGAGGCTGAGCCGGGAGTGCAAGTGCTGAAGGCGTTCGACACGCTCCTCCTCCCAAGGATTCTTGTTCTTAGTTGACACCAATTCTGTAAATCTCATCGTAAAATTGGGGTAGGGAGTCAGAAAGAGGTTTTACAAATTACTTGGAAGGATTGCTGTAGTAGTGCATTGTCATTGCCATTTCTGCACTTTATCCTTTGCCCATACTTGATCGAGTCAAAGAATTGTAAAGTTGGAAGGGACGGCCGGGGCGGGGGCGGGCGGGATACTGCTAGCCTACATTTAACAAAAACAATTGTGTAATTAAGAAAAATATGCCAAACATAATCTATGTGCAAACATGTGCACGTGTTGTGTGTGCGTTCTAGGGCCATGCCACTAGATACCCTTTCTGGAATGCAAGAGGGAGCTTGCTATAATAACGTTTAGGCGTTATGTGATCAGCTGAGAGACCTCCATTGTCATGCAAGTCTTTTGCCCCAGCTACTGTACAAAGTGCCATGCAGTTCATAAAAGGTCACATTGTACTAAAAATCCACCCTGAGAATTCCTGCAAACCTAGAATTCCCGCAGTGGAAGATGATGAAACAGCATCTCAAAATCGCATCAAGGACTTGAACGGGGCTTGAAAGCAATACATTTAGATGCCCCTTCACGTGTTCTGTGCATCACTTAAGAAAAATTCAAATGCACCTCTCCGGCTATGGTTCTATACACTTTTTTAAAAAGAAAAAAACTACGAAAGTGTCTGAAAGGAGCCATGCAATCCATGGACGCCAAGGAGCCCAACTTGAAGTACGAGGCTCAGGTGCACAATTGCCTTCGATTTGCACCACCACCACCCCAGGCAGCGTGCAAGATTTGTAGCGTTTGCCGCACAGTCTTGAATGTACTGTTCCCGTGCTAAAGATAAACCAGATCCCTTGGGCTTTTTGCACGCACACAAACACGCACACGCGCGCGCATCCTTTAAAGAAGCAAATGAGGTAAAAGAGCAGGGCGGGGTTTCTTTCGCTCCGTCTACCTTTTTGGAGAGGTGGAGGGGGGGATAGAGCAGGAGCGGCCGGGCTGCGCTCGAAAGATCCTTTGAGGACAGCGCGCGCCAGCTGCAAACAGCAGCTGCCTCGGCGGCCGCGCGGGGAAACATCTCGCGGCGCGCGCCCGCCCCTGCCGGCACCGCGCGCCGCTTGGGACCCGGCCTTCTGCCGCTCCTGCGCTTGCTACGTGCGCACTGACACTGTCCTCATGGCAAAGCCCAGGCTGGGCTGTACCACTCGGCGCCCCCGAGGAGGGGAGGGGCGGCCGAGGGGAGCCGAACCGCGCCAACTGAGAAAGGCGGCGGACGCGACGCCGCGGGCTCGACCCCGCCCGGCCCTTTCGCCAGCCGCGTTCCTGGAAAGGAGCCTGGCCGGCGGCAACCATTGCGGGAAAGGGAGCGGGGGGGAGGGAGGCGGGCGGGAGGAGAGCGGCATCGACGCTCGGGCAAGTACAGTTGGTTCCTCCCTAAAGTAAGGACGTGCAGAACCGAACGCGCCGCACCCCGCGCTGTAACTCCCGGGGCAGGGCGAAGGAGGGAGCTGCCTAGCCCCGCGCGAGGAGGGGGTCTCCGCCGATTGGCGGGCGCGGCGGGAGGCGTGGCTGGCCGGCAGCCGGGCGCAGCCTCCATTGGCGGACCCGCCGCGCGACGTCACCAGCCTCGATTTGCATGTAGCCAGGGCGGGGTAGGGGAGCGAAAGAGAAGGCAGGTTGCGCGGCAGCGGCGTGGGCTGGGTAGCGCAGCGCAACGCCGGGAAGGAGAAGTTTCCGCTGCTGCTGCCTCTGCTTCGCTCGCGCTCTCCCTCCTGCCTGTGGAAAGTGGGCAGCGCAGGCTGCCGAAAGGAGCCGGGTGGAAAGTGCCCGAGGAGAGGTGGCGCCTGCGAAGTTCAGGTAAGTGGGGTAACTAGGGAGGGAGGTGGGTGCTGGGGCTTCGGGGTAGGGCTTGGTTTCCGGCTGGGTGTTTTAAGGTTGGGCGCAGTTAAGGGAAAGCATTTTAAAAAAGTGGGGGGGACAGCATTTCTTGGTTTCACTTTCAGCGTGCGGCATAGAGCATCCCCCCCCCCCTTCCCGGCCAAGTCAATTAAAAGGCGCATCCGTACTCAGGGAAGAATTTAAGTCGTCAAAGCCAAGTGTAGATGTTCGCCGAGGAACGAACGGAAGCAAGTTCGTACCAGGTCATTGACAGTCCTCGATCCCCCCCCCCCCCAAGCTCTGGGAAAGGGCTCTGAACTTCCATTTAACTTTTTTCCTCCCTTTCTTAATATTATTTCGAAACGCTTCGTTGCCTAATGAAGTTGCAGCTGATCCATTGAGGAGGAAAGAAGCAGTTTCACTTTTGTCGCAAATTAGCCGGTCGATTAATTGGTCGGCCAGGTTTCCACACTCGCTCCGCTTCAGGGTGTGCAAGGAAAGGAATGGGGCTTCTTGCTTCGTTTTGGTTTGCGATCAGTATAACTTGATTCTGAGCAGACTTGCAAGAAGGGGTTGCGCTGTTCGGTTGCCTGTGCTTGTATAAACACCAAGTGGGGTGGCGGAGGATGTAATTCATATCCAGTTAAGTCAGTGGGTAAAAGTGGCGGCGGGGAATTGTCCTCCAGGTGGAAACGGAACTTCCTTATTGCTCCAACTTCTACAGCAAGATCTCTTCCTTTCTTTTCTGTGAATTAGCTGGGGGCTCTGAATCCATTTTTCACTGGACTGACCTGTTTCTTCCAAGTTGACATGATGTTTTGTGTTGGGAAAGTGCAGAACAGAATTAAGCAAAAAGTGGCCAAATGGAGAGACTTCAAAACGCCTGCAGCTGACGCCTTGTCCTGTGTTGTAGAAAGTCCCTCTGGTGTGGTCTGCATCTGTCTTGCACATGTTGGAATGGCCCAGGGGTGTTGAAACAGAAGCTTTCTGGGCTTATTTTTGTATGTGTTGAAATATGGGAAGTAGTGTGGCCGAACATATTGGGTCTTAGGGAGTGCTGGTGGTGACTCTGCTGCTGATCTATTTCTTGTGTATTTCAGATCCATGTTGGTAGGGGCAGGGGTGGTGGTAGTGGGGTGTCTGTTGCTGATATCTTAGAAGAGCCTGCCTGCCTGTGGTTGGTCTAATTCTCCAGAAGCAGGTGAGCCACTGACTAACGCACATTGTGCTGCTAGTGCCCCCACTGTGCGTGTGACAGCGGCTAACCTGCTTTTCGGTCATCACTATTTCTCCTTCTGCTACCTCCTGCCCCTTCCCCAAGAAGAAACAACGCATTGGAGCCTGGTGACTTCTTCCAGTCTGAATACAGTTGGAGAAAAGACTCCTTCAAGAGCTGGACATCAACCACTAACAAGCTTGCACATCCATGGCTGTTGCAGAAGAGCAGAGTTGACGTGTGCACACTCATGGGCATGTATGTTCCTTCCTTTGAGGATGTATGGAAGACTCAAAATAAAATGTGTTGGATGTGCTATTAAATAGGTTGTGCTTTCCCTCGGGAAGGCGTGCAATTGGCAAAGACTACTTGGCTTGGACTCTCTTGGGTTTTCCCATAAAATCAATGAAGTGGAATGCATACAGAATGAAGCAGAGAGCTGTGTGGGTAAATGTATGATGGTCAGTCTAAGGGATTGAACACCCTTGCCAAAATAAAATAAAATTATACACTTCTAAAAAGAATCTTCCTCCTGTCACGGTTTAGTAATGAGTGAGTGAGTCAGGCAGTTGCGAAATTACAAGTGTGAGGGGCGCTCTCTGATCTTCTGAGCATCATTTGCAACCATTCTCCCCCCTTCCTCTGAGGTCTTTGTGGTTTCTTGCTCCTTTCTCCACTTACTTGTCCTGTAGGTGCAGATTAGGACAGGACAAGGGGTTAAGCAATGGCCTGTAATCTCAGACACACGGACCACTTAAAAGTCCTTGGCACATGAGACCACCGCATTGCTGAAGCTGATCTGATCTAGGTCAGATGGATGAGTGACCCTCTCCCACAGAGCTATCTGTGTGCCACCTTGAATTCCATAATGGACGAAAGGCAGGATATAAATGTAGGAAAACAAACACTTACAAGCCTCTCTCCTGCATGAAAGGCAGAAATGCAGTTTTATGTGCACTGTCAGGGTTTTAAACTCATTGGTCATGCAGGAAAGTATATTTACAACTGCATTTCAGGCTTCTTTCATTTTCATGAAACCTGCGAAGAGGTTTTCTACCTGAAGTGCTTTTTTTTGTTTTTCAATCTGCCATTTCACATTTTTTACATTTTCCCTGCAGAAAAGTGATGAGAGGAAAAGCTTTTTCAATTTCACCAATATTGGGAACAGCTTCACCCACTCTTCCTTTCCCTGCTACTCCATAGCTGCTGCTGCTGCTTCAAGAAAGAGAAGAGGGGAGTTTCCCCTTCAAAAGGGCATGGGGAATGCACACAGTGATCCCCCCCCCCGCCGGAAACTGTCAAGGCCCTGTTTCTCTGGAGAGCAGAGAAAAGGACAGTAAAGAAAATAGTTGAGCAAGCTAGGAGGATATCTGTGGGGTTGCATCATAGTCTAAACACAGAGCAAGGTGGAGTAGGCAAATGCCCTTGGGGGTGTCTTCTCCCACGGCACCTGGGATGGTTAAGGTATAACATTTAAAGAGGTGAAAACACAACCTGTGAATAATGAAAATGTGGCATTAACAGGTGACTATCATTTTACCATTTGTGTCCAGTAGAAGGACTCTAGGATGGCCAAATTATTACTTTTTTATGTCTGCTTGAAATAATTTTGCTTGAAGGAATGGTTAAAATTTTCTTGTAGGTCATTCTGTTCATGATGTAAAAACTGCCAGATTACCGTGGTTTTGTATCACTTCTGTTGGTTCTGTCTAACACTAGTTTTATGTGCAATGTTGTACAATTATTATTCCATTCCTCCTCATCACAATCTTATTAAGCAGGTCATTGCGCTCCTGCTGCCCAACCAAAATTGTGAGGGAGATACTCTTGGCAGTGATACTTAAGGAATCCATGGTGACAACTGGAATTTGGACCCAAATTTCCCTAGGTAGTCAAGCAATCCACTGTGTTGCATTGGCTCATTGTTCAGATGTGTTTATTTTCACAGCGAGGTTCCAGGAAAATGAAGGTGTAGTTACTGACAAAGCAGTATGCAAACACTAAAGGAGATGCTATATATGCCTCCCCAGATACACAAATGTGGGACCATAAAACTGCTTCAAATATTAATTGTTGTTCTAGCCCAAAGAGCTATGGTAGTGCTCAATGTCTTGCTAGCATGATTTGTGGAATGTGTGTTGCCAAAATATATATTATTTCCTTACATATACTTTGCAGCTTCTGATTGTAACACAGATCTGCCTGGCCTCTGTAGGGTGGTTAAAAACATAGTTGCCTTAATCTAATTCCAATGCCCAGACAGAAAGGAAAGTGATGCTGACAGCTGTTGGTTGATTAATGTTCTTGGGTTGTCTTTGGTTTGTGTGCTGTGCTCCTCCAGACTCTGGGAGTGCCCCAGTACACCTTACAATGTACACCTCATTGCAGTTCACTGGGTGTCTTTTTCATCAGAGAGGTTGTGAACTAAGTAAGCTAGAGGGAATTTCCTAGAGAGATGTGTCTTCTGCAGTACCAACAACATAGATGAAATGGCCAGCTTTGCTTGTTACCAATTCCCTTGACCACAACACATATACTTCTGTCTTATAGGCAGGCAGGCAGGCACACTCATCCAGGCATGCTCCTCAGTTGATATACTGGAAGATCAAATAGCATGTGTGAATGAGCAATCGAAGACATGAAATAATTTTATCACCTCATTTTAAAAGAAGTCAGTGGAACTGGTTTACATATTCAGCTGTGAGTAATCAAGTGATGTATGTGAATGTGAGAACCAGCTTTAGTGATGAAACCTGGAGAAATATTCATCATGTATTAACGTGATTCTCTAAATGAAAGTGGATGACTTCTTCGAACAGAACGGATCCATTAGCCACCAACAATCAACTTACCTACAGTTCGTTGTTTGTTCTCAACTTTACAACTGTGTGTAAATTACCTATACGATACTGCTCAAAATAAGCAAGATTTTATATAGCATCACATTCACTATAAGGAAGATTTACTTTTTTCAGGGTACCCCACCAGTAAATTTCCCATTGCAGTGGCTCATGAACTCGTATGCTTATCTGTAAAATGGGAATAATTATGACCTAATGCAGGTTTGTGGCAAGGCTGAATAAGAGTTTGTAAAGCATTATATAACATAAGAAATTCATCATGTAATCTACTGGAAGGTTGTTGGCATTGGCAAATATTATTTGTCACTTCATCTTTGTCTTATTGTTAAATCAGTAAACATTTGCAACCAAAATGTGTGTGTGTGTGTTACTTTTGGGATGGAAATATGCTTTACTATGAGCCACATTTGATAATCCTCAGTTACTGAAAATGAGGAGGGGATCTAATTTCATCATCTTTTATAACCTCACTTTACCATCCAAGTCACTGCATTTATACTCCCCTTTCGTTGTGACTTCATTTGCCATTTAGCTGACCTGTAGATCTGTACAGGAACAATAAGAAATATTAGTATCCTCATCAAGACTATGGACTCTAGAGATCTCAAGAGGACCTTTAATTCTAAACAATGCAAACAGTGCACATTTCTGATGAGAAAAATCAATTTATTTGTTGTGAACCGCGCCCCCCGCAACATAAGGCATGGATCTTAAATGGTAACTTTCAGGTATTTCTGTTTTGATGAAGAATGTTATGAGTTAAAAGTCAAATTATCTTAATTCTTGTTTTGCTACCAGTACATACATACTGAGAATTGAGATCCATGGTCATGCATGATTAAAGCATGTAGCTATGAAAGCAAAGATACCAGAATTCAAATGCAGGCTACTTAAGCAAAGTATGAAGGCTCTGCATTAAAAGAATAATAAAAAAATGTAAGATCAGACGCTCAAGTGGGGTAAAGTTTTGCTAAATATAAAATAACCAAGCACATAGGAGAACAAGTCAGCATAACTTCTCCAAGGGCAAGTCCTGTCTCACAACCGATTATAAGTTATTTGGGAGTTTTAAGTGTACTGATAGTTGTTTCAGCTTGCAGAGTATACTTGGACTTTCAAAAAGACTCCTGGGTTAAGCTTAGTTGTGTAAAAAGATGAGAGGTCCTGTGATTCAAGGGGACGGAGCAATTCCCTATGAGGAAAGCATTCAGGACCTTTTAGAGAAAAGGCAAGGAAGTGGTGACTTGCATGCATGCATGCATGCAAGGAATTGTGCATGGCTTGGAAAAGTGCATGAAGAAAAGTCTGCCTCCTCAACACTCTAGAACTCGGGGATATCTCATGAATTGGAATTTTGGAAGGTTCAGGACAGATGATAGTACCTCTCCAAGCACTGATGGCCCCCTACTTGGATGGCTTTAAAAGAAGATTAGACAAATTCATGGAGATAAGGCTATCAATGGCTACTAGCTACAATGGCTGTGCTCTGCCTCTAGTGTCTGAGGCAGTAAAGTTATGACTACCAGGAGTCAGAAGCCATAGGAGGGAAGAGTGCTCTTGTGCCCGGCTCCTGCTTGCTGGTTTCCCACAGGCATCTGGTTGGCCACCGTGAGAACGGGATACTGGATGCATTGGCCTGACCCATCAGGCTGTTATGTTCTGATGCATAACATTATTCAACTGGAGAAGTAGGCATGCTGGTACTGTAGTGCTGTAAGAATTGCCAGTGAAGGTCGTTTAACTTCTTAAGAATTCTTTTGACTAAGATATAGTGGTACCTCGGGTTAAGAACTTAATTCGTTCTGGAGGTCCGTTCTTAACCTGAAACTGTTCCTAACCTGAGGTACCACTTTAGCTAATGGGGCCTCCCGCTGCCAGCGCTGTGCGATTTCTGTTCTCACCCTGAAGCAAAGTTCTTAACCCGAGGTACTATTTCTGGGTTAGCGGAGTCTGTAACCTGAAGTGTCTGTAACCCGAGCTACCACTGTACTCTGATGTATTATTATAATTCCTTTTGGAGAAGGCAGGTTGAGACACCCTTCCCTGCTCCTAATGTGCGCCAGAGTCTCTTGACTATGCCAGTGGGATCCTAGAAGAATGTAAATAGCATTTGGGGCTGAGAGCAGTATGTTTCTGAAGCACCGGAAGAGCACATGTTACTCTCACATCAATGTAAGCAGAGGCTTACATAATGCTTCTTAAAATCAGTTGGCAGGAAATTCCACTGGGATAGAGAACTTGCTCATCCAGAAACAGTCAGAATCTTTTGATACAGAACAAGAGCCACTGAAAAAATAATAAGGCGAATCCTAAACTCTTGTCTCCCTGCTATTAAGTGTCTCTTGCATAGGACATGTGCCCTTCTGGATTTGTTGGGTTTTGAAGTTACACTGCTTGACTCATTTGCAGTACCCTAAGCATGAGACTATTTGAGAGCAGCTTTGCTTATCTGGATGGCCTGGTGTGTGTGGGTGTGTTGACACAAGGCAGCGGCAGAGATAACAGGCTTGTATTGTGTGTTGCTGAGTCTTACTTCCCTGATTGAAATGCTCTTGTTTAACTTGCTTGCAAGCCATCTGCCCGAAGATGATGAGCCCTCTTGGCTAAAGCAGCCCCTTCTAGTATATAAAAAACTCCTGTTTGCACATCACCTGGAAAGGCGTTGGAGTCAGCCAGATCTCTTCCTGTACTTTAGACCTTGGATTTATTTAACAGGCAATTCCTGAAAGAAGACTTGGGAAAGCTGGCTGCAAGAAACCCAACATACAGAAATTTGCACTGCTGCTACATAGTCTACCTTTTGATTTGTCCTACATTACAAGGGAAGGCCAAGACACACATTCTTGGCCAGGGGTGGGCGCTCTTTGGTCTTCCAGATGTTGCGGGACTACAACACCCATCATCCCTGCTGGCTGGCTGAGGCTGATGAAGGCCAACAGCACCTGGAGGGCCACAGATTCTCCTTTGATTGTGGCCTCAATTTTGACTCAGTATTTTGAGTTCTGGACCTTGCAGAAATGGCAGGTATGTAATACATGGAGGTGCCCAGCTGGCGAGGGAGGAGGATTAAGCTGGGTGAGTTGGGAAAGAACTTGTTTCTGCTCTTGAACTTCCATTATCAAATATTTCTAGCTGCTGCAGGAAGAGCATACTGGCCACCTCCACAGAAAGAGCAGGCAACATCAGGCAACCACCACACTTTATAGCATGCTTGTTCTCTGTAGGGTTCTTCTCTCCCATTGGCTAGATTTCCCTCTGTTATGTGTAGGGAGAGTTGTTGGCCCTCTCTTCCCCACCCCGCCATATCTCCACATTTTGTTTAGTAATGCTGGCATAATGCGTTGCTCACTACTTCCATGAAATGCGCAGCTTGCTGCATTGTTTACTAGGAAAGCATTGAGCGCAATAGAAAGTGACTCTGAAGTCTGCTTGAATCTGAAATAAGCTTACCAATGCTGCTAGGAACTGATGTTTGCCATCTTAAAAAACAAAACAAAACAAAAACAACCACACTGGTGACCTTACCCCTCTGGTATGACTTCATCAGCTATTGGAAATACAACATACCCACCCATGTGATGTTGCTGCTCAACTGTTCTTTGTCTAGCTGGCGGGGGGGATGCCTGATGATGCCCACAAAGAGATGATTTGAAATCCCAGCTTGGACTATGAAAGTTAAATTCTACTCTGTGTAAAGAGAGCAGCCCTTTGATTGTTCATTAAAAAAATAATTATTTGAATAAGGAATGGCTTTTGAAGAGGAGACACCCCCCTCCATTCCCCATACTCCCTCCTTCACATACATAAAAATGTCCTCAGGCTCCATCTGTGTTCTTCCTGGTATCTTTAGGGCAGCACAGAAGCTAAAATCAGATGCTGACTCTGTACAAATTATTACGCTTGTAGCATGAGGGAATCCAGTTATGAAAGCAGAAGTAAACTCACCTCCTGCTTTGGCCATGATTCCTTCCGAAGGAACCCGTCAGGGGCAAGTTCGTGGCTGCACCCTGCTGTCAGCAAACAGCATCCTTACATGCTTTTGTGAATAAATCTTGGTTCATTCCCAAAAGAGATTTAGGTAAGATTTAGGGGCGGCAAAAACAAAGCAAAAATAAAATAATAAACAAAATGGCCTCTAGCCTTTACCCCAACTTGGTAACCTCCAGATGTTTTGGAGTATGGCTCCCATTAATCCTGACCAATGGTTGTGGTGCTGAGGGCTGATGGGGATTGGAGTCCAAAAACCACCGGAGGGGACCACATTGCTGGGCATGGAGTTAATTGACCACTGTGAAGCAAGTATGGTGACGGGGAGAGGAGCCACGGGAAGTGTCCTTCCTGCACCACTTGCAGTTGCCAACCCAGTTTCCTTTACACAAGGGTTCTTCTTCCAGAATGCTGCAGCAGCCTTTGTACTTCCTGCTCACAAGGTTTGGGAAGTTAAAGCTTGTCAGAATGGGCAATGTAGCTCACAGTTCTTGGTCAAGATATATCCATCCACCATCCAAGGATGTCATCTTTTTGTCCAGACGTCATGTATCCCAGAGGATGTATTTAGATGCCAGCTAGCTGTATGCATGATTATTTCCAGGTATGGCTGGTCAAGTGGCATCAAAATGTCTCACAGGGAAGACTCGCACGTGGATTTTGCACAAGATATATATGCAGCAATGACTGCATATATAAATAGTTATTCGTTAAATAACTATGAGGTTGAATTCTCAAATATGAAGGAAGCAGAACTATCTCAAACTGGAAATTGTGGGTGTTAAAACTGTGAGGAAAATAATGCGTTAAAAAATGGGAATGATTTTCCAGAGCATAGTCCATTTGAATCCTAACAGAAAAAGAATGATACAAGGCTTTGTCATAGTTATGTGGTTGTAAATACCTATTTTACCATTGAGTTTCCAGGATGAAGAAAAGTATTAATCTGATGTTGCTTAGTAGGGCCTTCACAAATCTAGGGCAGGATTTTGGGGGAATTGTGTTGCTTCAGTGCTGAGTTCCAAACAGGCGGACTGTTGCTTTGCCTGAACAAATTTCCATACTAGGAGGCAAGTGGCAAGCCCCATCCCTCTTAGGAACTGTGTGACAGAAGTAGAAAGCTTGAAGCCTAATCGTTCTGCAGCACTAGGCCTTTCTCGTTTTTGCCTGAGCATTCATCCCAATACTTGGCCCAGTGTAGAAAGAAGGCGGGGGCGAGGCAAGTTTACCAATAACATTCGCTAATAACAATGACTTGTAGGGGCTCTTGTGGAGTCTTGTCTCCTTTTCCTTGTGATCAGTAGCACTGAACAGCCAAGGGCATTCTGCTCATGTCTAACCCAAAGCACCCTAGCTCTTAGCCTCAGTCAATTAAATCCTCTGCCTTACCAGGCTTTGAAATTTTAATCTGCGATTTGCAAGTTGCTTAAACAAGAATTGCTAGGAGCTGCTGGTCCTCTGACCCGTTAATTAGACCCCGGCTTCTACTGAAGTCACAGATTTTGACCAAGAGGCAAAGTGGAGAGGAGAGGCTTGTATTATGGGAAGTTCTGAACACCCGTAGAACTTTTTCAAATGTTGTCAATGGCTTGTTCCATTGGGGTTTCTGGAATCAACAATGGATGGAAACTAAGGATGAGCGCATCATGGACTGCAAGTAAAGTGTTGCGCTGGAGCACCTCGACTTTGGCTGCTGTGGCCGATGCCCACATGGAGAAGCGCAGTTGGGCTTGCTGCCACAGAATACCTCAGGAAGGAGCCAGCTGAGGCACTCAGGGCTCAGAATCTTGCTCAAGCCCTTCCTCCTCACGATCTCCTCTTCATTTTCCACACCATGCTTAAGTAATAGTTTGTTGTACGGTGGCCAGCAATTCCTTCCCGCTGCTCTGTAGTGGTTGGGGGGGACGGGACCAGAAGCATCTCCAGTGTAGTGAGGAGGCTTCTCCTGTCAGGCATAAAACTTTAATCAGAAACAATCAGCAGCCTTGAAATGGGAACAGCAAGCTGCAGAAGTCAAATCATCAATAAAATATTAAATGGCAGAAATGTATTATTGACGCCACCTCTGCGCAAAGCTCACCCCCCCCTTTAAAAACCACACCCAAAGGAGGAATGTAGAACATGGAGATGGTCTGCCTTTTTTGTCATAGATGCGCAGATGCTTTTAAATGAGAGCATATGCCCAGCGTTCATTGGCTTTCAGGAATAATAACCATCCATCTAGCCTGCTACTGGTGTGATGAAGTGAGAGCAAGAGATTTGCGAGGTTCACCAGCTAAGGAAAGCTCTTTAACTTGACTGGTGGCATGTCACAAGAAGTACAGCTTCCTCTTTACATAAATAGCAGAGCAGAATGGCTTCAAGATGCTTGGGGCTGAAGTGTTTCTTCCCCCCCCCCCCTCTGCCTCTCTGCTAAGTGAAGGTATCTTGTTTAAAGGTGATACTGGGCAGAAGCGAAGCGATATTCTACATTCTGTAGAGCAGTCTTCCCTAACCAAACTGTAGTCTGAAAGAACGAGAGGAGAGGGCTGCTGTAGAGAATTTTGGGAGTAGGGTATTTGTGGAGGTCTTTCATGTTCCTCACCGAGAGGCTGGCCTACCACTAACATTCACAAGGTAAGACGGCAGTAATGGTATCCTGGGCAAAAAAGGCCCATCTCCCTGTTGAGTGGGGTAGTGCGGCAGCAGCGAGAGCTCCCATGTGCCATTTTGGAGCCCTTGGAGTAGGTTTTTTTCTGTATTTTTGGCTCACTGATGTCCTCTTTGGGCTCTGAGGAGGGTCTCCTCGTGAGGCACAAAGACTTTCCATCTCCCTCCCGCCATTCCAGGTTAGAATTTATTTATTTATTTCCCAGCACAACTGGCAGGGACCCCTGTGCCTGTCCTGTTTCTCATGCTAGAACAGAGGTATTCTTACCATTGTTTATGTGAACATATGCATCTCTAACTTCCCCCAGACATCATGTGCAGGTGTTTCCCTGAGAAACTAAATTCCAAGTCCACCCAGAAAACTAAATATAAATCATCTACACGCATATTCAACATTCATTTTAAGTTGCGGCAAGCCTTTAAGTCATCACAGGATGAAGGCTGCCTACATTTCTAAAGAAATCTGTGTCCTGTCTGACCCAACATGGCAAATAAAAATGGTTTGTAGCAGGTTAGCTGTTTGCAAACCAAATCCAATTAGCTGGCCTTTGGCACCATTAAAAATGTTGGTTTGAGGATGTGTTGCAGAATGTTCTTGTTTGTACAATGCCTCTAAAAGATAAAACAGTTTAAAAATAAATGTCAGTTTTAGACTTAGTAAAGCTTTTGCATGCATAAATTAAAAGTCATAAAATATTCACTGTCAACGTACTATTGATTAGTTGTGATGAGGGGGTGGAAATAGGTGATTACCTTCAACAAATTTGTGTTAGGTATAGGAATGCAGGTTTTTGAGCAGCACAGAATTCATGAGCAGAGAACTAAGGTCTGTCAGTTTCAGGAGGGAGATTCTTTTTAGAGTCTTATGTGGGCTTACAGGGAAAAAGTTAATACCATTTGCAGGAGACCTGAATCAGATCAGGGCTATGGTACTGGGGGGGGGGGGCAGAATCCTTTGCAGTGCAGACCCCTACAACTGGACTCCTCAGATGCTGTGTTAGTAGCCTATTGACTTCACAAAGCGTACAGGGAAAGGGAGAAAATAATCTCTTTCATGGAGCCAAAACAGACACATCTTGCATTCTGCTTGGCCCAGGTTCTATTTTTTTTTTGTACCAAATGTCATCATAAGGCACCAGCAGCCATTATTCTGTGGATTTTATTAGCATATTAAACTCAACTGGCTTTGCAGCTATTCAGCTATGTTTTATAGCTAACCCACAAAATCTCCTAGACAGCAGCAAGAGTAAAATACTAAGTAGATGGCAGTAGTGTAAACACCACTTTCAGACTTCCCTGACTGAGGGAATTTCAGAAAGGCAAAATAGTAGCTATAATATCCTGAAGGGTTCATTAACAAATCCTGTCCCATAGGAGAGATGTGAAGTTGATTTTACTTTATCTAATTTAGAGGATCCCACCCCCCACCCCTGGCAGGCAATGGCTGTTGTGCTGCTGCCACAACAGGTTAGCAGAATCCATTTTGTCAGAAATCATTAACACTGCAGCCAGTGCTTTTTCTGGGGGTACTCAAGGATATGCAGTACTAGCACCTCCCCTCCACCATGTTGAAAGTGTGGCACTATAACAACTTCATGGTGCATACAGGGACATAGTTTTTTCTAAACAAAAAAATCACTGACTGCAGCCATCTCAAAATGCACACAATGAAGGAAAATTAGACATTGATGTGATGTTTTCTGGGAATTTCCATATTACTGAGGATAAAGCCTTCAAAAGTTAAAATAAAATAAATGTCATGGGGGACAAAACACATGGCACATAATGTGGACTCGATCCTTGGTGGCTTACGAATACATATGAGCAGAAGCCCGTGATGTGTGCTGTTAACCATCAATACTTTCTGTGACATTCTTTACAAAGAGTTATTGAGCTTTGTTTCCCACTGCAACAGCAATGGAGCTGTAGGAGGGTACGTGTAAAACAAGATGGTTTTATTTCTAGAACAGTTTGATGGGCTGGATCGATAGTCAGGAATTGCAAGCATCTTAACTGTCTTGTGTGCAAAAGCCAAACAATGCCATCAGAAGCTGACTTGATATCGTTGGTGGAGTGGCTCAGTGGCACTGTTTTTAAAGCATTTTATCCATTTGATGTGCTTACAAAGGAGATTATTTTGTGGCCCTATTTTGAACTGGAAAACCAGTGTAAAGCACAAAGGGGTGATCCAGCACATTTCAGGACACTGTGGAATTTGAAAGGCTTATATTTGCCTCAAAACAATCCAGGATGGAGGGGCTATGCAGACAGGAGCGTGCTCAATTTGCAATAGTTCGTACTGAGTTCTATGGTTTCAGCTGGGAGACTTTGAAGTTTTTCTCTTGCTCCTGGCACTACTACCAGGGATGCTTACCAGGACACATACTTCCTCTGACCCCATTTGCTTTGATACTTGCGCTGCTCATTAGAGACCATACTGTTTTCAAGTGGACATGCTAG